GAAAATGGAACAAGAGCACCTCCCAGGGCCAGAGCTGAGCATCTGCTCCAGATGCCAGAGATGGAAAGGGAAATCTTTGCCTTGGTGTATTGTATGTCATTATTGTTTACTGTGTAAAAGGCATTGAATGTTTACCTGTATATGTGTATACTGTAATCTACAGCAAACAAGATCACTCTGCTTGCATTCTAAATGTATCTGTATTGGATCACATGTCAGACACTTACAAAGTGTCTAGGGCTGTGTGACTTATCGGTGAATAATGTGTGCAGATCCTAGTAAGGTGACCTTTTGCAGCTGGCAGATGGTAATTTTATCAGTGCCGATTGTGTTTAAATGCAAGCCAAGGTCTTTTGGCACTGCACTCAGTGTGCCGATCACCACTGGGACCACCTTGACTGGTTTGTGCCAGTGTCTTTGCAGTTCAATCTTTAAATCCTCATATCATGCCAGCTTTTCCAGTTGTTTCTCTTCAATCCTGCTGTCACCTGGGATATTATTATTATTATTATTATTATTATTATTATTATTATTATTATTATTATGTTCTTCAGTTTTGGAAACGGGAGAACAGCCTGTCAACATCCTGTGCCCAAAATACATAGGATTCCAGGTGAAAGTCTGACACTTCCATTCCCACTTGGTTTTCCAACATTTGGAAGCATGCCATCACTACTAATGAATCTTAGTCCTTACCGAGTTGAGTTTGGTCCGCCTGGTGTATGAATGTATATGTATGTATGTATGTATGTATGTATGTGTATATATATGTGTGTCATATGTCTGCCAACCTTGCATTTCTCTTATCCTACGGATAAAGTTCTTGTTGTGCATGGGTAGTACTAGAGCTGCACTGAGGAAATAAAGAGGATGATATATGAAGTGTTGCTGCCAATGATGAAGCCAACCTTTAGCATGACATCATAACTTTTCCTTCCTGTCTTCTGAAATCTGTGAATGCAACTGAGCTCCCAAGAGGCAGCTTCCTCCTCATAACAGCATTCTTCAAAGCATTGATGTTCCTATTTCAAGATCTTTCTCTCTCAACCAGCCTTTGAGAAGCCAATGGTGATTTCATCTGCTTGGGCAGCTTCTGAGTTTTGATTGCATTGCTTCAACTAAAGAAAATGTTGTTTTCCTTTGCTAAAATAAAGCAAGTTTAAATGAGGGAAAGGTTAAGGAATGCTTCATGTAAGCAAAGGCGTCATATAATATGATAGTTTAAAAAAATTATTTATAGAAAAGGAAACAGGCAACCAGACATTATAGTGTGTCCATGCTTAACCGATGTCTGGGACTGGTAATGGACTGTTAATATGACGCCATCATTTTGTGGATTCTCAGCTTTTGGGTTTCGCTTTCACATGCTGCATTCTGAAAGACCGCGATACCTCTTGGAAGGATTAGCTACTGACAGCAAAACTTTAATATTTCCTGCTATTTTTATCCCTTTTTTTTTTTGTCTTTGGCCCTGCCTCTCACAAGCATGTGGACGCTACATCCAAGGCATTCCCTGCATCATGTTGAATTGGTTGAGAATGGTGAGATATTCGTTGCAAAACTATTGCAAAATGTGCTATAGCAGGATGCTTTTGCAGTTTAATAAACCTTTCCCATGTTTTTTTTAATGATAAAATCAATTAGAAAATAATATTTATAGCCCAGGGACAAAAATCATGTTAGATAGTGTTATTATTAATTATGGATGTTAGTAAGCTTCTTTCCTCTGCCATGGGGTGGCTGCTGCTTTGCACAATGCTTGGCTCACACTGTGGCTCCTTCCTCTTTGCAATGGATAAATTAAACATTAAAAATTAGAGGCATGATCATCAAGTTTGCAGATGACACCAAATTGGGAGGGATAGCCGATACCCCAGAAGACAGGAGCAGAATTAAAAATTATCTTCACAGGTTAGAGAGATGCTTGGCCAAAACTAGCAAAATGAAGTTCAACAGGGACAAATGCAAGATAATCCACTTAGGCAGAAAAAAATGAAATGCAAAGATACAGAATGGGGGACGATACCTGGCTTGAGAGCATTATGTGTGAAAAAGAGCTTGGAGTCCTTGTGGACAACAAGTTAAACAAGAGCCAACAATGTCATGCGGCAGCAAAAAAAGCCAATGGGATTTTGGCCTGCATAAATAGTAGTCTAGTGCCTAGATCCAGGGAAGTCATGCTACCCCTCTATTCTGCCTTGGTCAGACCACATCTGGAATACTGTGTCCAACTCTGGACACCACATTTTAAGGGAGTTGTTGACAAGCTGGAATGTGTCCAGAGGAGGGCAACTAAAATGATCAAGGGTTTAGAGAACAAGCCCTATAAGGAGCGGCTTAAAGAGTTGGGTATGTTTAGCCTGCAGAAGAGAAGGCTGAGTGGAGACATGATGAGGACTATGTATAAATATGTGAGGGGAAGTCATAGGGAGGAGGGAGCAAACTTGTTTTCTGCTGCCCTGGAGACTAGGACGCAGAACAATGACTTCAAACTACAGAAAAGGAGATTCCACCTGAATATTAGGAAGAACTTCCTGACTGTGAGAGCTGTTCAGCAGTGGAACTCTCTGCCCCAGAGTGTGGAGGAGCCTTCTTTGGAGACTTTTAAGCAGAGACTGAATGGCCATCTGTCGGGGGTACTTTGAATGTGATTTTCCTGCTTCTTGGCAGAATGGGGTTGGACTGGATGGCCCACCAGGTCTCTTCCAACTCTAGGATTCTATGATTTTATAAACATGCCTGGGAGAAATTAGACAGAAGGGAAATGGCACCAAAGAGAGTCTTGTCCTTCTCTCTCTGCATCCGCTTCCCCAGGAGCTCTGTTGACTCAAGTATGTTGTGTCACCACTGGACTTCATTGCACGAAGCCAGCTCCTCTTCGCCTGCACCTGGGAGTGAGTCAGCTGCAAGAGTTCAATATGGCAGGAGTCCTCTTGGCTCTAATCCTGTGTCAAATTGGTCTGGAATCACGCGGTACTTCTGCCGAATGAACGCCAGAAGGATAGTCCGGCCATATGGAAGCTGATCAATTCCCCACTTGGCCAGCTGAGTCACCTTGAAATCATTACGGCGGTGGTAATTGCCACCCACTCCTTCTAGCATCTCTGCCCACCCACTCGCTTAGATGGAGATGCAGTTATGAACTATTGCCAAAGATTGAAATTCAGTCTTCCTGCACAGAACCAAAAGTCTTCACAGCTCTCCTCTCCTTATGTTACATAGATAACCTATGTTATCCATGTATTCCTTTATATATATATAACCTATATTATCTATTGTGTTGTCAAAGGCTTTCATGGCCAGAATCACTAGGTTGTTGTGAGTTTTCTGGGCTGCCTGGCCATGTTCCAGCAGCATTCTCTCCTGATGTTTCACCTGCATCTGTGGCTAATGGCATCCTCAGAGGTTCTGTTGCTAGTGAGGCAAGTATGGTGTATATATTTATAAATGTTATCTATTGCATTATGTTATGTATCCACTATAAAACACTATCATGAACACATTAGCAGCATTCATTAAAAACAGTAATGATTCAAACCCAGATTAAAATATCTCCTTTAAGAATTGGTATTAACAGTAATTTGATTCCATGTTAATTTAGGCCCCTTCTACACTGCCATATAAAATCCAGATTATCTGCTTTGAATCTGCATAGTAAATGTGGATTTTCTTCTTTGATAATACGGATTATTTGGCAGTGTAGAAGGAGATTAAGGCTGGCTCTGTACTGCCCTATATCCCAGGATCGAATCCCAGATTATCTGCTTTGAACTGCATGATATGAGGGCCTTTCTACACTTCCATATAATCCAGAGTATCAACGCAGATAATCCACATGACCTGCATTGAGTCTACACTGCCATATAATCCAATTCAAAGCAGATTTTATGTGGAAGTGTCGATGGGAGATAGGCCTACAAATTATTATTATTATTATTATATTGACACAAAAGCACAGTATGTCACAGCAAACGAGATCTATATGCTGGATTTCGTATCAAAAAATCACAAGTCGAACACTTTCCAAGCGGCTAGGACTATGTGATGTATTTTCGAATGATGCACACAGATTCAAGTAAGGTGGCCTTTTGCAGTTGATAGATTGTGATTTTGTCAATGTTTATTGTTTCCAAATGCCGGCTGAGATCTTTTGGCACGGCACCTAGTGCACCAATGACCACTGGGACCACCTGTACTGGTTTATGCCACAGCCTTTGCAGTTCGATTTTGAGGTCTTCATAGCAGCTGAGTTTTTCCTGTTGTTTTTCCCCAGTGCGGCTGTCACCTGGTATAATTATAATTATTATTATTGGGCCTTAGGGGGCCCCTGGTGGCAGAGCAGGTTAAACCACTGAGCTGCTGAACTTGCTGACTGAAAGCTTGGTGGTTCGAATGTGGGGAACGGGGTGAGCTCCTGCTGTTAGCCCCAGCTTCTGCCAACCTAGCTGTTCAAAATCATACAAATGTGAGAAGATCAATAGGTACTGCTTCTATGGGAAGGTAACAGTGCTCCATGCAGTAATTCTGGCCACATGACCTTGGAGGCATCTACGGACAACACCAGCTCTTTGGCTTAGAAATGGAAATGAGCACCACCCCCCAGAGTTGGACGCAACTAGGCTTAATGTCAGGGAAAATCTTTACCTTTACCTGTGGAGTTTTAGAAGCATGCTATGTTCTCCATCACTATATATTTGTATACATTTGCAGCGTTTTTACCCTTGTTCATATGTATTTAACATTGCACTCATCCTGTTTTAAAGTTATCAGTTTATGAATCTGCTGTGCACTTTCCCTGCTGAACAAATTGTGTTTTTATTTGCTCCCCATCCTTGCAAGTGGGCATTCAGCATTTATTTTAAAAGAACTTTACATATATCATAATGATGATATATGCCATAATGAATGGAAGCCTCAATGCACTGATGAGATTCAGCCCCAGCCATATAGAATACATGCAGACAATGCCTGGGACATGGCAAGCCAGAGGGCTTGGTGAGTCAGATCAGGAATGGGATTTATTAGAATGATAACAATGACGTCTAAAGAGGAAGCTGTGCATCCGTGTCGCTTGCTGCCAGTAGCTGAAGAGTCTGCTTGTCTCTCTTGTTCCAGGCGACGAAAGAGCTAATTGGCCGCCAGGGATGGAATTTTGCACACAAACGGGAATTCTCTGTTGCAGCTATTGTCATTCCATGAACGCAATGCTGAAAAAGGAAAGGGGGGGGGATAGGATGGTAGAAAAACAGAATCAGATGAATTTTAAGCATTGTTAGTGGAAATCTAGTTCAAAAGAAAGGAAGGAAGGAAGAATCACACACCAATTCATACCAAGTCTACATGGTAATAAAGGAAATGTTCTATTTAGTGGGTTGCTGTGAGTTTTTTGGGATGTATGGCCCTGTTCTAGCAGCATTCCCTCCGAACGTTTCACCTGCATCTGTGGCTAATGGTATCTTCAGAGGTTCTGCAGGCAGTGAAGCAAGTGGAGTGTATATATAGATACCTGTGTGGAATAATGTCCAGGGTGGGATAAGAACCCTTGTCTGTTTGAAGCAAGTGTGAATGTTGCAAATAGCAAGCTTGGATTAGCATTGAGTAGCCTTGCAGCTGCAAAGTCAATCAGTGAGGGTATCTGCATGGAGGTAGCCTGGCTGTTGTTACCTGGAGGCATCCTCTGTTTGGCAGGTGTTAACTGGCACTTGATTGTTTACTGTCTGGAATTCTCCTGTTTCTCAGTGGTGTTCTTTCTTGATTTGGGTGTTTTTATAATACTGGTGACCAGATTGTGTTCATTTTCATGGTTTCCTCCTTTCTGTTGAAATTGTTCACATAGTTTGTGGATTTCAATGGCTTCTCTGTGTAGTCTGACATGGTAGTTGTCAGATTGGTCCAGCATTTCTGTGTTTTCAAATAATATGCTGTGCCCAGCTTGGTTCATCATGTGCTCTGCCATGGCTGACTTCTCTGGTTGAGTTAGTCTGCAGTGCCTTTCGGGTTCTTTGATTCGTGTCAGGTCAATGCTGCTTCGTCTGGGGGTCCCTCTATAGACTTCTTGTCCACAGCTGCACACTTGCAAAGCAGGCTTGCTAACTGCACCCTTCACACTGGATTAATAGACATTGGTTGTTTTCTCAAACCCTAGACATTATTCCACAGGTATATGTGTGTATGGAGTGTGTGTGTGTGTGTGTGTGTGTTGTGTGTATGTATGTGTGTGTGTGTGTGTGTGTGCATATATATACACACACACACACACACACCATTTGGTTACCACCATCAGATCCTCTGAAGATGCCAATAACCACAGATGCAGGCAAAATATCAGGAGCAAATACTGCTAGAACACATTGACTGTACATCTGGAAACCACACAAAACCCCAACTTCCATCAGTCTTGATTATCCACTACGCAGACTGGCTATGATGGGAATGGCAACCCAACAGCACATGTGCCTCTGAGGTTGGGGAATGATTAAAGAACATTATTATTATCATTATCATTTGATACACAATAAGATTAGTACACAGCAAACTAGATCACTATGCTGGCTGTTGTATTGAATCACATGTCAAACACTTCTCAAGTGTCTAGGACTGTGTGATGTATTGGCAAATAATGTGTGCAGACCCGAGTCGGGTGGCCTTTTGAAGCTGATAGATGGTGATTTTCTCAGCGCTGATTGTTTTTAAGTTCAGGCCAAGTCTTTAGGCACTGCATTCAGTGTGCTGATCACCACTGGGACCACCTTTATTGGCTTGTGCCAGAGTCTATGCAGTTCAATTATGATGATGATGATGATTGTTGTTGTTATTATTATTACTAGCCGTCCCCTGCCATGCGTTGCTGTGGCCCACATGGGGGTTCTGTGTGGGGGGTTTGGCCCAATTCTATCATTGGTGGGGTTCAGAATGCTCTTTGATTGTAGGTGAACTATAAATCCCAGTAAATACAACTCCCAAATGTCAAGGTCTATTTCCCGCAAACTCCATCTGTGTTCATATTTGGGCATATAGAGTATTCGTGTCAACTTTGGTCCAGATCCATCATTGTTTGAGTCCACAGTGCTCTCTGGATGCAGGTGAACTACAACTCCCAAACTCAAGGTCAATGCCCACCAAACCCTTATAGGGTTTTCTGTTGGTTATGGGAGTTCTGTATGCCATGTTTGGTTCAATTCCATCATTGGGTGAGTTCAGAATGCTATTTGATTGTAGGTGAACTATAAATCCCAACAACTACAACTCCCATATAACAAAATCGGGGTTTTTTTTTTTTGGAGTGATGATCACTCCTTGGGTTGTTAGGTGTATGCTGTCCAAATTTGGTGTCAATTCGTCCAGTGGTTTTTGAGTTATATTAGTCCCACAAACGAACATTACACTTTTGTTTATATAGATTATTATTATTATTATTATTATTATTATTATTATTATTATTATTTATAGCCCACTTTATCTCTCCTGGAACAGACTCAGACATCCTATCCATCCACCAGCCTTGTCTCTCAATCCATACCCCACTCTTTTGACTGAACAGAATGAACTGCAGCCTTCCAGGTATTCCTGTATCCCAGTCCCATCCGCTCTTGTCATGATAATGGCTAATGATGAGGAATGTGTGAGTTGTAGCCCAGCATCTGGAGGAAGGATGCATAAAAGGACATGGCGGGCTGGATTTGACCTGCACCCTTTAGTTTGACATATGTGATGTAATAGAATGGTATGCTGTAATATAGATTCCCATCTTTTGCTTCTCCCAAGACCTTGGGGGCATTGCTCCCGCATTGACACTAAAGGAGGGAAACCAAGGAAGCAGCTTTTCTTCCTTGGATGATTTCAGAAGCAAAGAGAGACCAGAGGGGAGAGGCAGTTTGAGCACTGGACCCTACTTACCGCTGGTGTATCTGTACCAGATCTGCACACAGTCTTCGTCTTCTGGTTTAGAATGGATCCCATCATCTGGCTGGCTGCCATCCCAGTAGTTATAGTCATACGATGAGCCATCCGTCCATTCAAAGTCGCTCTCCTGCCAAAGGCATCACCAAGGGATGAATGTAGACAAGGTAGGAAATGCCTGAAAAGTACCTTTGGCGTTGCGATCTCAGTCCCAACCAGAATAACCAGGGTTAAGGAACTGTGGTTCACAATATCTAGAAGGCCAAAGATTCCCCAGCCAAAATATATGAGAAGAGATCTGTATTAAATCAAGTGTGGGGAAGCTCCAGTCCTCAGGATGTTTGGGATGGGATTTCGCACAGCCTCTAACTATAACCCAAGCTGCGCGAGGCAGATGGAAATTGCTGCGCGAAACATCTGGCGTCGCTGCATTCAACTCTTGGCAGGGATCGCATCAGAAATGCATTGCTTCTAATAAATTTTGAAGATATAAAATTAAAATGGCAAAAGAAAGAATGAATAAGAACTTTTGCTGCTGCTCCAAAATTATAGCCCCCCAAAATGGAAAGGAATTATGAATACAAAATTGATTATTGGTACAAAGAGGTGTAGAACATGGCAGTAAACAACAAACTGACTTGTTAAATAAAATGCAAAGGGACATCAGCGAAAATAAATTATTTTGAGGCAATACGCAGCACATCCTTAGAATATATATTTGTCCAAGAAAAAAGGAATAAAACTAAATCAACATATATTCGCTTTTTGGAGAAGAGGTTATGGGACAGGCTTTAGCACAGCGGGTTAACTGCCAGCTGCAGAAAATCTTGGCAATCAAAAGGTTGGCAGTTCAAGCCTGATTTGGGGTGAGCTCCTGGCCATCAGCCCAGCTTCTACTCACCTAGCAGATCGAAAACAGTGATGTGAGTAGATAAATAGGAACCACTATTAAGCGGGCAGGTAGTAAAAGGCACCCATATGGACATGCCAGTAATTCGATCGGGGGGTCATCTATGGTCAACAAAGCTCCTCGGCATGGAAGATGGAGCGACAGCATCTTCCCGTGGCTAGAGTCAAGCACAGCTTCCAGATGTTGGAAATGGAAAAAGATGGGGAAAGCCTTTACCTCTGATATGTATTGTCTGTCCTTGTTAATTGAATAAATGCATTGAATGTTTGCTGTATATGTGTTCTGTAATTCACCCTGAGTCCCCTCAGGGAGAGAGAGCGGAATATAAATAAAGTATATTATAAGAATCATTAATATTAAGGATGAATACATGTCCCATGAGTGGTGGGTACAGGAAGAGATTAAATGTATAAAATATGTGATTAATTGTTTAGATTGATTTATTGTATGTTTTGTGTTAATATCAGTTGTGAATAAATAAAAATAAGAATTAAAAAATGCATTGCCAGCTTGCCCTTTAATTTTTCCATTGAAGTAGCTTCTGTTGAAAGGAAAGAGCATTGCATGTGCATCAGTTAGGCCAGAAGCCAAAGAAGAGACTTGATCTAGGGCTCAGCATTTGCAAAAGGTTTGTCCCCCTGACCACCTTCAATCAGCCATATCTTTAAACATACCTTTAAATTTTTACATCTTTTAAGGATGCCTACTAAACTCCAAGCCCCTGGTGGCTCAGCGGGTTAAACCGCTGAGCTGCGGAATTCACTGACTGAAAGGTTGGTGGTTCAAATCCAGGGAGTGGGGTGAACTCCCACTGTTAGCCCCACCTTCTGGTAACCTAGCAGTTCGAAAACATGCAAATGTGAGTAGAATCATAGAATCATAGAATCAAAGAGTTGGAAGAGACCTCATGGGCCATCCAGTCCAGC